GCCCCGCAGCCTCCTAGGGGCTGCTGTGCAAAGGAAGCCTCTGGGCCCTCGCATTGCGCCTCACGGCGCGCTCAAGCTCTGGAGGCTGCCAAGCTGCCTCCCCTTGGCAGGCTGCAGGCGGAGCCGGAGCCGTTTGTCTGATCAGGTGCTGCTGTGACGGCGGGAGCACGGCGGGAAGGCAAGGAGGGGGGCTGGTCCGGGACGCATCCACACTCGGAAAAGTAGCGCGTCGCTCTCCTGTCGTCCTCCCCCGGGTGCGGGCACACAGCGTCAGTCCTGCTACTCGGGCCTTTGTCCGGAGCCTGGCCTGGCTCTTGACGCTGCTCAGGTGGCCTCTGGACAGCTGCAGCTCCTTCCCGGCTGCCCGCAGGGAGCTCCGAGCTCTGGCTGCGAGCGGCGCCTGGGCTGTGGCGGAGCGCAGTGGTGTCCTGCTGCTGCCCGCGGAGCTCCCGCCGGGCCCCGCCCTCGACAAGGGTCTCTAGAAAGGGTGTCGAAAGGCTCCCGCGTTTTCCACCCGCGCCGCGCGCGTGGAGATTGCCGAGTCTGACTCCAGGGGCGTCTGGAGGGAGCGGGGTAGTTGCACACTGGGACCCACTCCCTCAGCTTCCCCGGCTGAGCCCGCCCGGTTTCTTCACCTTGATGTGAGGAATGGCCAAGGGGAGGGAAAGCCTCCGTCTGGTGCCGGGGACAGCTCTGGGCACGGATTCGCAGGCTCTGCACCGCCTGCGAATCACGGCCCTGATCAGCGGGTTTCCTGCTAAATCGGGTGCTGCTGAAATCCTGCTCCTGGTCTCAGCTGTTTTCTACTAGTTCTGTACTAAGCTGGAAAATGCTCCAGAGGTGTCAACACAGAGGGATAACACAAAGTACGAGGGACCAGATAAGGAGAAAATGGAGAGATCGACTCTCTTTCAGTATCTCACTCATCGGAAAGCCCGCAAGTTGATCATTGTCCATAAGAAGACTGGAGAGGTAAGAATCCTAGGAAATGGGGGCTCTAAAGAGGGCGCAGTTCACAAAATATGAGTGAAGGGGTTACCAGGAGCCTGCGGTTAGGAGATGGGATTTTGTGTGTGTGTGTGTGGGGGGGGGGATGCAGAGCATCTGAGGACGGGATTGAGATCACAGCTACAGTACCAGGATCACGGGCCCTTTCCAGCTGGAGCGGGTGGCGGACCTGTTCAGTCTCCGCCAGCACGAGAGAGATCAGAGCCACCCGAGCCCTCCTGGGACAGAACTGCCTTGTACCAGAGATCGCCCTCGTGGTCAGGGGCAGTGAGGAGCCACCCACGTTTACCAGGACGCCTGTAAGGATGAATATGAAGGAGGACCCATCCCAGACTTGAAGCACTTTTCCCAGTTGCTGATGTGCCCCATTGCTACTCTGCCCGTGGTCTCGGGCCTCTTCGCTGTTCTTGTCATATAGTTCTGGCCTTAAGTGCCATAGAAGGACAGCCGCTCCGACACACCTTGCACTACGTCTCTGGGAAGGAAGAAGCTCCGTGGAAAGGTGAGGCATTTTGGAGATCTTCAAATGAATGTCAGGCTGGATCAGAAGCTGAGGTTCTCGGTTGTCTTTGCGGGAGATTCTTTTCTCTTTATCCTCGTCGAAGGCCCTTTAGACTCCTTCAGAGAAAAGCAACTGCGTGGTTAGTTCACAGGACACCAGGAACACGGACACTCTCCAGCATGTTAGCCATCTCGAGGAGCTTGCAAAGTGAAATGTGAATTGCATTTTGTAAATAGGCTGTGATTTAGCACATTCTTGTGATGCCGTCAATTTGTTGACAGATTTCTTATATTTTTGGTGACTCGTGTTTTGAGAACATCGTTTACCCTTTAGTTCCGAGTGAGGGGTTGGCTTTAACATCCGAGTCCTTGGTGAAGAAGGCAGAATATAGAATAGCGTTAACAATTGCAGTGTTGTCTGCCTGCAGCAGTCCTTGCAGTCGAGTTGTAGATTTCTGAAAATCACACTTGCTCTGTAAAACTACAGCGAAATCCTCGCACACAGTGCTGGTAAAATGATCATTCCTCTCTTTCTGAGTACCGGATTATTCCTGTGGCTCTGAGACACCGTGACTGATTATTTCCTGATTCTTGCGTTGCAGGGTGGTAATTTCTGGGTGTTTAGCAAGTAGGACCTTTTATCTGGTTATGTCTAAGGCTCGAAAATGATATTGAGGGCATTCTGCCAACTGAGTGAAAATGTGCTGTGGAGGCTTCATCTGGCTAAGCTATACTAAGTCTCTTTTCACGGAGCATAAAAAGCCACTCGTCACAGAGACCATAGCTCTGCATGCATCACAGCCGGGGATTTGTCCTTTGTTCGGAGGAGATGGATGATAGCTGAAGTCACCATTGTGGTTGCTTAAGCGACACTGTGAGGATGTTTGTACCCTGTGTGCTTCCCAGACATGCTGTTTCCTTGAGAACCAGAATGTGAGCATCTAAACTTAGCTGCCAACGCGAATGACTAGAAGCTGGTGAAACGTAATTCTGTGGGAGTTGGTCCTGCTGACGCAGACTAGAGGCGCTAGTGTATGTACCTTTAAAAGGTTTAGGAGGGGTTGTCATTGGCCGACAGCGGATGTAGCTGTTATCCAATTAGCTGCTGATCTAAGATGCGGGGATCCGTTCTTCCTAGTTCTACTCCCCTCCTCCAGCGCCATGGCTGAGATTCAGCTCTCCTCCCCCATCCCACCCCCTCCACTCTGACTAACAATTGCTGCTGCAGCCAGGCAAATCTGAGAGCTGTTGTAATAGCTGTGGAGAGGAAAACCGAGGGATTTTAGCAGCTGATATCCAGACCCCGGCTCGTCCTTTGTGCCGAGACCGGGCAAAGACTCCTCGTAAGACAGGAGAACTCAAAAATGGAGCCCCGAAGGCCCCGGCAGCCCCCTTGGAAATGGCAAGTACTGGGTTTGTTTTCGCTGTGCGGCTGGGGCTGGGTCTCTGGGCAGATTCGCTATTCAGTGGTGGAGGAATCGGAGCTGGGGACAGTGGTGGGGAATGTGGCTCAAGACCTGGGCTTAAAAGTGGCGGATCTTTCCGGTCGCAGGCTGCGCCTGGGGTCCGAGGAGAGCAGACGGTACTTTGTCGTGAGCCTGGCCAGCGGCGATCTGCTGGTGAACGAGCAGATAGATCGAGAAAGCCTGTGTGGAGCCAGTGTGAGCTGCGTGCTGCCGGTGCAGGTCGTTATAGAAACCCCCCTGGAGCTCTTCCGCCTGGAGGTCGAGATTCTGGACTTGAATGACAATTCTCCCAGGTTTCCCACCACCCATCGCACTGTGAGGATAGCGGAATCCTCCACCTTGGCTGCGCGCTTTCCTCTGGACAATGCCCAGGACCCAGACGTGGGGACTAACACTGTCAGTTCCTACCATCTCAGTCCCAACCCGCACTTCTCTCTGACCGTAAAGAACCTGAAGGATGGCAGACTTTTCCCGGAGCTGGTGCTGGAGCGAGCTCTGGACCGGGAAGACCAATCTGAACACCAGCTGGCCCTGACCGCCTTCGATGGAGGAAACCCTGCCCGGTCGGGAACCGCACAGATAACCGTGGTTGTTTTGGATGCCAACGACAATGCCCCGCTGTTCGATCAGCCCGTGTACAAGGTCAGCCTTCTGGAAAATACCCCGCTGGAGACTCGGCTCATTAAACTCAACGCTACCGACCCAGACGAGGGCCCCAACGGAGAAGTACAGTACTCCTTTGGGGTTCACACGTCCGACTCAATCCGGAAGTTGTTCGCCTTAGATCTCCACACCGGGGAGATCACTGTTCAGGGAGCTCTGGATTTCGAAGAAACGGGTTTCTATGAAATCCACATAAAAGCCAAAGACAAGGGGGTGCCGGAAATGGAAGGCCACTGCGTCGTTCAGGTGGAAGTGGAAGACGCCAACGATAACTCCCCAGAGGTCCTGATGACCTCCCTGGTGAATCCAGTGCCTGAAAACACTCCGTTGGAAACCGTGGTGGGGCTCTTGAATGTGCAAGACCGTGACTCTGGGGTCAACGGGGAGGTGAGCCTAGAAATCCCACCAAGTTTGCCATTCAGAATCAAATCCTTCGACAACCACTATTCTCTGATCACCCGCGAGAGCCTGGACAGAGAAAAGATTGCCCAGTACACGATTGAGCTGACCGCCAGGGACGCGGGGTCCCCGGCTCTAACCACGAAGATCACTATACTGCTGAACATCTCCGACGTCAATGACAACTCCCCTAGCTTCTCCCAGCCCTTCTACAACTCCTTCCTGCAGGAGAACAACGCCCCGGGCTCCTTGCTCTGCACTGTGTCCGCTGCTGACCCAGACGAAGGAGACAATTCCCGCCTCACTTACTCTATAGTTGAAAGTGAAATCCAGGGCGCTCCTGCCTCCTCTTTTGTCCATATTAACCCGGACGATGGAAATATTTATGCCCAGCGCACTTTTGATTTTGAGCAGTTTCGTGTCTTGCAGATTCCCGTGGCTGTGCAGGACTCTGGGTCTCCACGTCTCAGCTGCAATGCGACCGTCTACATTTTTATTCTGGATCAGAACGACACCCCCCC